CTCTGCATCCATCAGAGAGTACACACTGGGGAGAAACCCTATAGATGTTGTGGGTGTGGGAAGGCCTTCAGCCAGAGCTCAAGCCTCTGCATCCACCAGAGAGTGCACACTGGGGAGAAACCTTTTAAATGTGATGAGTGTGGGAAAGCCTTCAGTCAGAGCACCAGCCTCTGCATCCACCAGAGAGTGCATACAAAGGAGAGAAACCATCTCAAAATATCAGTTATATAGAGCGTTTTGCTAAGAGTTAAAAATCTTAAAACCCATAAGTGCCACTAGGAAGGAAACCCTGTAAATACCTACATTGACCTAAGAAATTTTTACAGCAAGCCCCAGCAGGATATTCTTTTTGAAGAGGCATATAGTGAGGTTGGTTTTTTTTAGATTCATGTCAAGTGTGTGCCACAACTTGGCTTTGAATCTGGAATCCCTCTGAGTGTCTGCCCAAGACAGGCTGTGAGGTCCCAGTCATGGGTGTGCGTTTCCTGGGATTTAGGCCTGATGCCTCAGTAATGGGAAATACGACACAGGAAACCATGATCATTGCCCAGCCTCCTGAGTCACCTTCTGTCTACGCTTTACCTAAAAGTTACCCCAGTCATCCCCCCCTTCAGGAGCTCATGCCCTTCCTTCTCTCGATTCAGACATACTGGCTAATGCATTTGAAAATGGACAGCTCCCACAAAGACAGTGTTCTGGTGTTTCTGAGGTTATCCCTTGGTTCAGCCCCTACATATCGTTCCATAGATCCCATTACTTCTGAGCCTGCTTTACCTGTATGTCCTCACAGTACCCGTAAATATCCACCCCTTCCTAGATGGCATTAAATTTCATTTTAGATTTTAGGTGACTCATAATTTCCATTCACTTGGCCCATCAGAGAAATCACTGGCAGACATATATGCCCTTGAACTTTTTTTTAAAACATGTGGATTCTGCTAATCACTGTGTCTCTATGTTAGACTTAATTTTCTAGTGGCTACATCACATATTTTTAACTTGAATTTTTTGGAAATAGCTGAATGTAAATAGGGAGGAAGAAGTAAGCAAGCAAAGTTGGAACTTTTCTCCATCCAGAATTGCCCTCTTGGGCTCCTTTTGTAGCACGTGGAGCTCCTTACTAGCTAGGGGAGACCATAGGAGAAGTGGATGGTGGGAGGAGTCACTAATAATATTTAGTCTCTGTTTCTGTAATTTTGGGCAATAATGTGTAGGAGTCCTCAATACCTTCATTGAGGATCATGTATTCCTTCGTTTTTAGGCATGAATATCTATGTCACTCTCTCCTTTCCTTTCTTCATTCATTCAACAAGTATTTATTGAACACCTCCTATGTGCCAGGCATTGTGCTAGGTGCTGGGAATACCACTGAGTAAGACAGACAAGGGCCCTACTCTCATGGAGTTTACTTCTGGTGGAGGAGACAGATGATACGCAAGTAAGCAAATACATAATGTAGTTTGAGATAGTGATTAAGTGCTATGAAGAAAATAAACTAGGGTGATGATTTAGAGTGGGGGTGGGGTGGGGGTGGGGCATCATTAGACAGTCAGGGAAGGCCTTTCTGAGGGGGGCGCTGGAGTGGAGCGCGCAAGGCTGGCAGCACCAGCTGGCTGGCCCCCGCTGCCATGTTTGCCGAGCGGAAGGTGGCCAGGTGCTGGGGCAGAGCGAGCCGCGGGGAGGGGAGAGATACTGAGTTGCTCAGTATCCCAACGTTTATAGGCCCTTTTTTCTTTTCTTCTTTCTTTCTTTCTTTCTTTTTTTTTTTGTGGCTAGATTGATATTAAAAACTCATGTGGAAGAACTCAAGGAATGTTTAGAAGACCAAAAGTCCCCAATGACGAGAACAAAAAGCAACTAATTTTTAACTTTGTTTCTCTTCTCATTCCTGTTTCCATTGATTCCCACATGTAGTCCTTATGCTCAGGAAGTCTTGGGGGAAGTTAAGGATCTTTGAAGCTCTGAAATGGGTGAATAGGTTCGTGGTGTCTGTCAACTGTCTTAAGAGGTTGGGAAATGAATTCCCGAAATAGTCATCGAAATACTGAAACAAAGCTTGATTTTCTCTTCATATTTGAATTAATTTCTTCTGTTTGACTGGAAAGGGTTTTTGTGTAACTAAAACCTCAAAGGCATAAAGGAGATTTAAAAGGAGCACATTATTTAGTGGGTGGGCCATGAAACTAGAGATGGGGTTTGGGGATAATTGTGTCCCTCTCTGGATTTTCATCCAGACAGCTCTGTTCACAGCCTTTGGGAAGTCCCTTCTCCTGTGTGTCCTCCTTGCCCAGGAGAGGGCCAGCCTGGTTCCTGGGTGGAACCCCTTCCAGGCCTGACGCCCTCGACTACGATTTACTGTAGTGTCTTACCCTCGTCCATGTCATGGTAGCCTGCGGCGTTAGAGAGCCGCCTAGACTTTTAGTTGGTAGAGAGACAGCGGAACTATCATCAGTAGGATTTTAGTTTTAGGAAAAATCGGTTTGATTTCTAGCTTTATTACTATTAGGTGTGTGAGCTTGGGCAGATCGCCTAATCGTTGAGTCTAGTTTTCTCACAAAACGAGGACATTAGGCTAAATGATTTCCGAGTTTCCAGCTAGTCCTAGAGTTCTATATTTCTACATAGTTGAATTATTTTATCATGCTGTTGCTGGGGAATATGACTAACACTTTTGAAGCTACTAATTTTATGTCGAGCTTTAAAGTCCATAATTGTTATCTTCGGAAAATATTATTTGACCTACAGTATGTCCAAATCAATTTAATAAAATCACTTTATAACAGGGTTCTGTGCTTGACATGTAGTTGTGTGAATTCAGGGGTCATTGTGTGTGTGTGTGGGGGGGTGGCTTGTGTATTATGCCTAGGGTGACCTTATAATTTACTGTCCAAACTGGGCACTTAAGAGTAAAGGAGGTGCTGTTAATGAGGACCACAGGCCTAAACTGGGACTGTCCTCGCAAACCAAGTTGTGAGGACACCCTGGCCCAAGGATCACAACCCAAGCAAGTAAGAAATGACTAAATTGCATCAGGAATAACTCAAAGAGGAGTGGTAAGGTCTGTGGCAAACTGAAGAAGGCATGCCTTACTGAAGGGATGGCCCCTACTTGGCTGTAACTGTTTATTTCTATGCTAGAATATAGGCGAAAGGCTCCCACATACTCTCTTTTAAGAGAAAACCAGCAACATGGATTTTTATATAAAATTTAGTGATTTTTGAACGTTGGCAATGAATTCATGTTCCCTGTGTGACCCATCTTGGTCATTTCTATTACCTGCCTAGTGCCCATAGGGTTTTATTTCACTTTGCAAAGCCCTGCTCCAGTCCCTGATGACTGTGACCCGCTCCTGGTAAGGTGTGGTCTACCCCTTGGGGAAGGTGTGGTGGCCCGTATTCTGTGCCACAGGCTTTGACTCTGGTTCTGGGATCTGCTGGCTTTGAGGGGCAAGTCTATATCCCACTTCCACCATCAAGGTAGAAGCAGTCCAAACTGGCCTTTTTGACATGAGAGGGTTTGGGAAGAGCGGTCACATGTGGGCACACCTATCCCCCACTGAGTCAGCACTCTGGGTGCCTGCTAAGATTTAGGGTGTGAGAGAGAAGTCAAGGCTGACTTCACAGTTTCTGACTTGGGGCCCTATTGAATAAGTGGCAGATTGCACCTTTAAGAACACAATGAAGCATTTCACTTTTTTTATTCAAAGGCATTAATAAAATAGGCTGTTGGTTAGCGCGCCCCCCCCCCCAGAAAAAGAACTCTGTCAAATCAGAGAGCCCCAAACATCCAGATGGTCTGCTGTAGAGCCTCTGGGCGCCCAGGTCTGTCACAGGCCACCTCGAGGAAGTTGTCGGATTCTTTAGTGTTGTGTGAGTCTGGACGTGATGCCTTCTGAGGGACTTCCCAACTCTTGGTTCTATTATCCTGAAAAATGTGAAATTGTTAATTTTTCTGTATAACTTGCTGTTATTCTCAGGCATTTGAAAAAAGGTGAATGGAAAGCAAATAATCAGAAGCAGATGGAAAAAGTCCTCAATGGTGGAATCAAACCTGAGGGGAGAGGCAGGGAAGAGGTTGACGCCATCACCGGGCAGGAGCCAAATATAAATAGCATTGCTGGATTAAGAGAGAGAATGAGAGGAAGAATGAGGTTGGCAGAGCGCTTACTCTGTGACCGTATGCAGTTTCTTAACTTTCCCAAACCTCAGGTTTTCACCTATAAAACCTATGGTTTTGAAAATACCTAACTCATGAAATAGTTGGAAAGACTATTTGGAAGCATTTAGTAATACAACAGGAAGAAAACAATCCCAGTTGCCTGTTAAGGAAGATGGGTCCCGTTGTTTGGAGTTCTTTTGTTCTGCTGAACTGCACCGTGATGGGTTTGGGCATCTAAATTTGGGGGTAGAAACTAGAGAGGGCTGAATTGCTTTATGTGAGAAAAGCCAGCAGAACTTGACTCTCCCAGGGTAGTCTGGGACAAGAAAATAGAATTGGAAAGGTCGTTGGAAGAGAGGGACCCAGGGGTTTCACAGATGAACGCTTATGACCTCAGAATCCCTCCTTAAAGTCTTGAGATGCTTGGTCTGAGTGGATTGCTTATGGAAACTGTGGAGGGACTGAGTGCTGTGTCCCAGCTGGAATGGGGCAGAACATCTGTACTATGACAAAAATAAATGTTGGAGCCAGAAGAGAGCAGCCAAAAGCCCATGAGCTCCAAGGAGCGTGGAGAAGCCTCTGGGAGAGGCAGGTAGGGAGGCCTCTGGGTCTCTTACTACTCCTAGTGTACATAGGTAGAATACTGTGAAGATCATGAGTAAATTAGATTTTTTAAAAATCATTCCCGTATTAGGCACATGAGCAAATCCAAAGATCCCAGGTCCTTGTGTTTATTATATACGTTGGCGAGAGCTTGGCATAGATCTCAGTGGAAGGTGACTGTCATGCCAAAGTGCTGTCATTGCTTGGGTTTAGGCACGTGGCAAAAAAATACAGTGTTAGAGTAAAATAATAGCATATAAAGATTGCTTTTATTGGTTTTCAGGTGAATTTATGCATTTTATAGATTCTGTCTTGTTTGTACCTTGACAGTTCTATTTACTAAATGCTTCTGAAAATGGGTTCACTTAGAGACTTACCCTCCTCCTCTGGGCTGGCCCTGGCCCCGGTCTTCTTTGCATCATGAATTATGGTGGGAGTGTTGTGTTTGGAGGGATTGATATCTATAGATGTGTTTCAGGGAGCTCTCGAACCTCCTTAAAATATACACAGAATTTTGTGTATATGTGGGTATATGCATTTTTCTAGGAAGAAGGGCCTTCCTTGAATGTGTGACTCTAATCAATAAAGAACACTAATTGAGGAAAACTATCTGCTTTAGCCACGTGGTTATTCACTGTGCAGGAACCTTGGGGAAAGGGACGTCCTAAGAGTTCAGAACAGAGGTGGGTCTGCTGAAACGAATAGAAAATGTTAGATGTAATAAATGGAAGGAAAAACATCACACTGTGCTGTGTGGTAAAGAAGGAGAGAAGGGGCGCCTGGGTGGCTCAGTCGTCAGGCGTCTGCCTTCAGCTCAGGTCATGATCCCGGCGTCCTGGGATCGAGTCCCACGTCGGGCTCCTTGCTCAGTGAGGAGCCTGCTTCCCCCCCCTCCCTCTGCTCCCCCTGCTTGTGTTCTCTCTCCCTGACAAATAAATAAAAATCTTAAAAAAAAAAAAGGCCTTTGGCATAAAACAAAAGATACATATGTGTGCCGGATGTAACAGATCAGCTGTGTTATGGTATAATGTAATGTGCTTAAGAGACAAGTTGTGTGAGCAGTGTACCAAAGCTGAAAACTGGTGTAGGTGAAAACAGCTAGGTGTTTCAGAGGGGCTGGCTGGGAGGCAGAAGGAGTTGGCTATGTGATTGGAAACACCGAAGCTAACAGAGTTGGCCTCTTGGTTGCAAAGAAGGCAGTTCTTGTTGTAACTTTGGAGTGAGGTCCCCGGTGCTGGTGTGGGTTGTATTTAGATTCTCCAATAAACCTATTCTGTCGCTTGGTGGTGCATTCTTCCATGTTTCATTTCTGTGTACCGCTTGCCTGCAGTACAGAGTTAAGGTAATATGTCTTCGTTAACATTTAAGTCCGTGATCTTGAGCCTTCATCCTGTCTCCAAGATGTTCTTATCCCTGGCACTCCTCTATCCTGATGCGTCCCCCTCCTGCCTTTCTGAGGTGAGCTTGAGACCCACAGGGATTTAGTCTGGGGGGTAAGCCCTGTCTGCGTCCCATGGAGAGTGAGCAGGACATTGGGACTGAGATGCCAGCAGGCTGTGTTTCTGTAGCTGTCGCTGTCACGCTGTTCCTGCCAATGACAGGTTTGGAGAGAACCAGACTCTCTGTGGCTTGCACACCAAGACAGGTCCCTCGATCCAGTAAACATCAGGAAAAGAAATTTTGAAAAGCACAGTGTATAAAAACATGATAGGAGTAAAGTTAAAGCATTGATCCTAGAAAACGTGAATGGGTTAAATTC